AACTTCTTATACAGGAAGTCTCTACGCTCCTCGCCATGGGGGCCATAGAGGAGGTTCCAGTGGAATTAAGGGGCAGGGGATTCTACTCCCGTTATTTCCTCATCCCCAAGTCCAAAGGAGGTCTGCGACCCATCTTGGACTTGCGCGGACTCGACAAATTCGTAGTAAAGTTGAAGTTCCGCATGGTCCCTTTGGGGACCATTATCCCTTCCCTCGATCCTGGAGACTGGTTCGCCGCCCTCGACATGAAAGATGCATACTTTCACATCGCAATTTACCCGCCTCACAGACGCTTCCTGCGGTTCGTGGTAAGCAAGGTGCACTACCAATTTGCAGTCCTTCCCTTCGGCCTATCCTCGGCCCCAAGGGTATTCACGAAATGTATGGCTGTCGTGGCAGCGTACCTTCGTCGGCAAGGGGTACAGGTGTTCCCGTACCTAGACGACTGGCTGGTACGCGGTCGCACCAAAGAGCAAGTTCGAGCTCACGTCCACATAATAGTGCACACATTCAACAAGTTGGGCATCCTACTCAACAAGAACAAATCCACTCTAGAACCTACCCAGAGAATAGAATTCATCGGCGCAGTTCTAGACTCCAGGCGTGCACAAGCCATCCTGCCAGACAACCGCTTTTGCACCATCACGAGCCTCATTCAAGGACTCAAGGCCCTCCCAACTACCACGGTGAGGTCGTGCCTTACCCTGCTGGGTCACATGGCTTCCTGCACGTACGTAACCAGGCATGCCAGACTTCGGCTTCGCCCACTCCAGACCTGGGTATCATCAATATACCGCCCACATCGGGACAGCCTGAATATGGTGGTCACAGTCCCGAACTCGGTCCTGACCTCCCTCACATGGTGGCTAGATCACAATGTGGTTTGCGAGGGGATGCCGTTTCACGCCCCACAACCCTCTCTGCACCTGGTCACAGACGCTTCATCTCTGGGTTGGGGCGCCCATCTCAACGAGCACCATACCCAGGGCCTGTGGACTGCACCTCAGCTAGCCCTACACATCAATGTTCGGGATTTCTCAATCTCCTACGGGGCCGCTGTGTGTTAGTTCTCACCGACAACACCACGGCCATGTTTTACATCAACAAGCAAGGAGGAGCACGTTCGTCAATTCTATGCCAAGAGGCCATTCGCCTGTGGGACTCCTGCATCGCCCATTCATCCCATCACACGGCTTCGTTCCTCCCTGGAGTCCAGAATACTCTGGCGGACCGGCTCAGCAGGTCCTTTCAAACGCACGAGTGGTCTATCCGTCCGGACATTATACATTCCGTCTTCCAGAAGTGGGGGTTTCCCCACATAGACCTGTTTGCATCTCGAGACAACAG